AAATTGGGGAACCTCCCTGCCAAACTCCCTGCAATATTAGTTGTCAGGGCATCTTGTTGATCAGGGCAGAGTACTTTTAGATTCTCCATAACGATGCAATCCAGTGGAAATTTCTCCACAACCTTTACAAAGCTTTTGGTGAGGTAACCTCTTACATCATCATAGAACTTATCTACAACCCTCTCAGGTAACTCAGATACCTCATCAGTCATGAGTAGCAATTTTGCTTCTCTTCCTATGCCTAAGTTTACATTGTCCCATTGATTATCTATACACAGGTCTAGATCCTTAATGCTGCTAACCTGCCTAATGTGCTGTGGTTGCACTAGTCTAACAGCAATACCATGCAGCAGTTCTTCTACACATTCTGGCAGCCTATGAAGCACTGACGATTTCTGCTGAAAAACCAGATTAAAGCGATCAAACAGAGGTATAACTGATGACAAGAAATGTGCATATACCTTCATCATGGGATTGTTCAGACGACTGGCGATTGCTCGGCTCTTCTGGTTTTCACTCTTTGAGTTGAAGTATGACTGGAATGCATCCCACTGGGATAGAAGATGTTTGATGGACTTCCCAAGGGAAAGCCATCTCGTTGGGCAATGTTTCTGCACCCTCTCTTTAGCCACACCACAGAATTCCTGGAACTCTTTCAAATCCTGTCTGCGCTTACTGGACTTATCAAAATAATAATAAATGTCGATAACCAGGCTCTCAGGGTTCAAGTCAAGTTCTTTGTAGGCGGTCTTGCAGCAAATATTGACCAGGTGGCTCGGACATCCAACGCTGTAGATTTCGGGTGCTCTCTGTTTAATTCTTGATAGAACTGAATCTCGTTTGCCTGTAATTTAAACCATTTAAACTTTTTTCAAGTCATATTTAAAGATGAAATTAAAATGTTTGAAATTTTTTATTGAATGTGTTGAAATATGATAAAACTAATATTAAAGATTTAAAACCTGAATAAAAGCAAATAAGGAATTTTTTCTCTATATTTTGGTGAGAGCAGAATATATTTAAAAGGCTTTATGGCACTGAGGAGGTCTGGACTTGTTGATTGTTACACCTAGAGTGATCTGCAAGATATTACATCAGCAAATAAAAGTGAACACGTAAAAAACTGCAGGCCTACCTATCATTACATTGCAGTTGTCAGATGCAAAAGCTGCCACATTCTCCCATCTTAGACCATGTTTCTCCACAAGTGTTTCATTGACACACTCAAATATTCTGGCACCTGTACCAACGTTGCAGACGGGCATGTCTAGGAAGCCAACACACACCTTCCCTGATGATTCACTGAAGAATCGAACCAGCATAGCACACTCTTTATCGCATAAAATATCATTTGATTCGTCTATCATAAGTGCAAAAGGCTGACGTTGATCCTTGATACACGAAAACATAGCTTTAGATGACTCTGGTTCTGGAAACAAAAAGTGTTAAATATACATGATTAATCCATTTTAATTTAAACCCTCATAATACCAAGTAAGGACATAGAATATTACACCAATTAAAATTTCATATCACAAGCATTTTTTACTACCCAGTGCAAAATCCCACAATATATATTAATAGTGAAAACCTTGGAAACAGAACTGAAACAATTATTTTATTAATCATTACAAAAAAAGTGCAGCAGCTGTTTCCTAACATAAAATATATGAATAATATAACAAAAATAAAATGACCAAGGAAGCTGATCAAATATCATCATCTAAAGCAATATAATGAAAAAATATTTTCTATACAGGTATTAACTTACCTAGGGCATGTTCCACTATTGCAGCAGTCTTTGTGTACGAGCACTTGTATTTCTTAGCAATGTTGGAGTCTGGAAACATTTGTTCGAAGATTTTTGTGGCGTGCTGGGCTACCGCAAATGGTAAATTATGCTCAACCAGCAGTGAGGTAAAGAGCACTTCTGCTTTGAGTACTTGCTGATCAAGTGGCGTTGTCACATCCCTGCTGCCAAACAATATCCTCTGACACTGGCTAACAGTAGTTGCCGAAGCTTGGTGCTTGGCTCCCTTAAAAAAATGCAACATAACATTGTTAATTAAGTAAAACAACTTTAGGTGACTGAATCAATCCAAAATGTTGTTAAAAAATCCTTAAAAGTGCGATTCAGAATTTTAAAAAGAAACACGTTCACGCTGGAGAACGTCCTAGGCTAGGACTAGGCCTAGGGCCTAGCATACTCCTAGGCCTATATTTTGCACGGGAGATGCATAAAAAACTTGTGTGGAAAATCGGTCGAAAATAGGTGCGCAGACTGTGTAATACATTTTGCTGGTATAT